CAACTCTTGATTTCAGCTCAGGTCATGATCTCAGGGTCATGGAATTGAGCCCGTCTGCTTAAGATTCTTTTTCTCTCCCTCTGCCCCCCCCCCACTTGCATTCTCTCTCCAAAATTAAAAAAAGAAATAGAAAAGAAAAGAAAAGAAAAGAAAAGAAAAGAAAAAAGAAAAAAAGGAAAGGAAAGGAAAGGAAAGGAAAGGAAAGGAAAGGAAAGGAAAGGAAAGGAAAAGAAAATGGAAACACTTTTCCATCTTTTTGCAACTTTCCAAAATTGCAGCAAAAGCAGTTCTAAGAGAGACGTTCATAGTGATACAAACCTATCTAAGGAAACAAGAAAAATCCCTGAGGTTTGGCTGTAGGGTACTTGGGTGTTTGGGAAGGAAGAATTTTTAAGTTTACAGGTCTAATAATTAGGAAACCAAATTACTATACTTATTGATAACTGAGAATTCTGTAATTTGGAGTAAACATGTACTAAAATGAAAAGGGGCTTTCAGTTGAGGCTAGGGAGAATAAACTGTTTTCCCAAAAGGACACTGTGACAGCTGTGTGTCAGACCTCTTGAAGCTGGCATGTGGGGGCATAAATGAGGGTTCTTGCTTTCCAGAAAGGAAGGGAAGTTGTGGATAGTCTGTATGGTTGGCCTGCTGGGTAGTGACACTCAGGCTGGTCCCAGGCCATGAGCAACAGCTGACATGAGATGTAGAAAGAAGGGGCAATAAAACAGCTTGTAGCAGAAAAAACAAAAAGAAGAAAGAAGAAAAATCCCAAATAAACAATATAACCTAAACTAGAAAAATAAGAACAAAGCCTAAAGTTAGTAGAAAAAAGGAAATAACAAAGTTTAGAGTGGAAATTAAAAAAAAAAAAAAAAAAAGATTATAGTGGCATAACTGAAATAGAAACTAAAAAAGAAGAAGAAGAAGAAGAAGAAGAAGAAGAAGAAGAAGAAGAAGAAGAGAAGGAGGAGGAGGAGGAGGAGGAAGAAATCAATGAAACTAAAATCTGGTTCTTTAAAAAGTTAAAATTGAAAAACCCTAGTCAGACTCATCAAGAAAAAAGAAAGGGCTCACATGAATAAAATCAAAAATGAAAGAGAAGTTACAACTGAAACCACAGAAATACATAGGAGACTATGTATCACAGAAGAGTACTAAAAAGAATTATGTGCCAACAAAATGGAAAACATTGAAGAAATGCATAAGTTCCTGGAAACACACAACCTTACAAGACTGAATCACAGAGAAATAGAACATCTGAATATACCAATTACAAGTAATGAAATTGGATCAGTAATTTAAAAATTCCCAGAAAACAAAAGTCCAAGACCAGATTGCTTCATATATGATATCTACTAAACATTTAAAGAGGAGTTAGTAACTATTCTTCTCAAATTATTCCAAAAAATTGAAGAGGAAGAAATTCTTCTAAACTCATTTTACAAAGCCAGCAGAACCCCAATACCAGAATCAGACAAAGATACCACTAAAAAAGAAAATTACAGGCCAATGTCCTCAATAAACACAGATGCAAAAATCCTCTTCGAAATACTAGTAAATCAAAATCAACATGTTAAAAGGATCATACACAATGACCCAGTGGACTTTACCAATATAATGTACCACATTAACAAAATTAAAGATAAAATATGATCACCTCAATAGATGCAAAAAAAGCATTGACATATACAACATCCATTTATGATAAAAACCCTAAAAAAGTGGATACAGAAAGAACACACCAAGTATAATAAAGGCCATATGTGATAAACCCTCAGCTAAAATCATACTGAGTGGTGAAAAGCTGAAAGCATTTCCTCCAAGATTAGGAGCAAGACAAGGATACCCATTCTCACCACTTATTCAGCATAGTACTGGAAATCCTAGCCACATCAATTAGGTAAGAAAAAAAAAAATTAAAGGCATCCAAATTGAAAAAGAATAAGTAGAACTATCACTACTTGCAGATGACATAATAATCATCTATAGAAAACCATAAGGCTCCACTGAAAAACTATTAAAACTAAAAAAATATCAGGAAAATCTCACAATACCAAATGAACATACAGAAATCTAACCCATTTCATTTATGTACACTAATAATGAGCTATCAGAAAGAGAAGTTAAGAAAACAATCCCATTTACAATTGCACCAAAAAGAATAAAATACCTAGGAAAAAATTTAACCAAAGAAGTGAAAGACCTGTACTCTTGAAAAGTGTAAGACATAGATGGAAAAAACTGAAGACAAGACAAATAAATGGAAATATACACTGTGCTCATAGACTCGAAGAATTAGTATCGTGAGAATGTCCACACTACACAAAGCAATCTACAGATTTAACGCAACCCCTATCAAAATACCAATGGCATTTTTAACAACTAGAACAAAGAATCCTAAAATTTGTATGGAACTACAAAAGCCCTAAATAGCAAAAGTGGTCTTAAGAACAAAGCAGGAAGATCGTGCTGATTTCAAAGTATATTAAATGTACAATAATGGTACAAAGAAACACACATACATCAACAAAACAGAATAGAGAGCCCAAAAATGAGCCCATACATGTACAATCACCATTTAGCAACTACCTTAAAAATAAGTGATTTGGGCAAGACTCATCAATGAATGCTGTATTACTTTTTTATTGCTACTTTCAAAAATGTCAATTGCCAGGATGCCTGGATAGCTCACTTGGGTTAAGCATCAAACTTCAGCTCAGGTCATGGTCTCACGGTTCATGAGCTCCAGTCTCAAATCAGGCTCTGTGCTGACAGCTCAGAGCCTGGAGCCTGCTTCAGATTCTGTGTCTCCCTCTCTTTCTGTCTCTCCCCTGCTCATGCTCTGTCTCTCTCTCAAAAATAAACATAAAAAATTAAAAAATTTTTTAAATGTCAATTTCCTGAAACACCTGAGAAAAGTTCCTGAGAAAAGACTCAGGAACTTCCAAATTAAAGGATACTAAAGAGACATGACAACTGAATATAAGGCATGATCCAGGATTTTATTTTGCCAAAAATTTCCGGGATAACTGATAACCTGAATAAGGTCTATATATGAGATACTAGTGCTATATCAATAACAGTACTATATCAATGTTAATTACCTATTTTGACAATTGCATTATGATTACATGTGAGAATTTCTTTGTTTTTAGGAAATATAGAATGAAATATTTCAGAGTAACTTTTTCTCTTAAATAATTTATTTTCAAATGGCTTAGAAAAAATTATGTATAGATATCTACATACAAACACACACATAGAGGATACAAGAATACTCTGTATGATTCTTGCAACTTTAAGAGAAAAATATCCCAGCTCATAAACAAAAAACGACAAGAAAACTGGAGATAATTGTGGAGATAAAGAAATTTCACATGAAGTTGAAGTCAAGGTAATAGGAAGTGTTCAAGTCTAGACCTGAACATTCAGGGGAAATATAACTGAAGATATTCACTAGTATAAGAGAGGAAAACTTAAAGTTTAAAAAAAAAAACTATTAAAAGGAAATGTCCTCGAGGCACCTGGGTGGCTCAGTCCATTAAGCAGACTCTTCAGTTTGGCTCAGGTGGTGCCTTACAGTTTGTGAGATGGAGCTCTGCACTGGGCTCTGTGCTGACAGCATGGAGCCTGCTCGGGATTCTCTCTCTTTGTCTCTCTCTCTCTCTGCTCCTCCCCCCGCTCAAAATAAATAAAAAAAAGAAAAAGGAGAGGCGCTTGGCTGGCTCAGTCGGTTACACGTTCAACTTCGGCTCAGGTCATGATCTCGTGGTCTGTGAGTTCAAGCCCTTCATGGGGACCTGTGCTGACCACTCAGAGCTTGGAGCCTGCTTCAGATTCTGTCTCCCTCTCTCTCTGCCCCTCCCCCCATCTCTGCCCCTCCCCCTCCCTCTCTCAAAAATAAACATTAAAAAAAAAAAGGAAATGTCCTCTTAGTAATTAAACTGATTACTCTAAGAGATGACATACAAAAAAGCTGACAAAGTAAAAAAGTTAAAGATAGGGTAGACAAATTCATTCATAGCAGCTACTGAGGAAAACTATACAAGCATACCTCAGAGATACTGCAGGTTCAGTTCCAGACCACCACAACAAAGCTAATATCACTTTAAAAAAGTGAGTCAAGCTAATTTGGGGTTATGCTTATACTACACTCATCAACTAAGTATGCAACAGCAATATTTCTTAAAAAACAACACACATATTTCATTGCTAAAAAATGTAACCATCATCTGAGTTTTCAGTAAGTTAATCACTGATCACAGAATACCATAACAAATATAATGAAGAAGTCTGAGATATGGCAAAATGTGACAGAGAGACACAAAATGAGCAAATACTATTGGAAAAATGATGCCAAAGACTTGCTGAATGCAGGGTTGCCAAAAACCTTCAATTTAAAAAAAAAAAAAAAGGCAATAACTGCAAAGCACAACAAAGTGAAGCACAATAAAACAAGGTATGCCCATATTTTGGTACATATTTCCAAAGTTAAAAATTTGATATCAAAGAAGGCAAAAATGTTGCCATTTGGTGTTATAGAAATATCCCTGAACTGGTTCAGTCAGTAACCTCAGTCATTAATAAGTATATCACTTGTGACACTTTTATTTTACCTATACATAGTTCTAATCCAAGAGAATTACCTATTTAGGGAAATTAAAAATTTAAGTGAAAAGGGGCACTTGGGTGGCTCAGTTGGTTAAGCATCTGACTCTTGATTTTGGCTCAAGCCCACCACACTGGGCCTGGAGCCTACATAAGATTCTCTCTCTCCCTCTCCCTCTCCCTCTGTCCCTCCCAGGCTCACGTGTGCCCTCTAAATAAATAATAGACACATAAATATTTTTAAAAATAAACAAAATTTAAATGAAAATATTTTAGTAGTTTCAGACAAACTTTATCTCAAAATAATGCTTTTGGCATATGTAACTAGAATTTACAAAAAAGGACAATATCTTTTAGAAACCACATCTAATAAGTAATTTATTTATTCTTACCTGTTACTCCTTTTAACTGATTTGTTCTGCCATGGTGGATCTATCACAATTACATCATATGTTTTCCTACCTGAAAACAAACACACAATGTATTTCAGAAAATACCTTCCATAGATGATCACTTTAAAACTAAAGTGCAATGGGGCACCTGGGTGGCTCAGTCAGTTAAGTGTCTGACTTCAGCTCAGGTCATGATCTCACGTTCTGTGAGTTCGAGCCACCCCGCGTCAGGCTCTGTGCTGACAGTTTGGAGCCTGGAACATGCTTCAGATCCTGTGTCTCCCTCTCTCTCTGCCCCTCCCCCACTCACACTCTGTGTGTGTCTCTCTCAAAAATAAACATTAAAAAATAAATAAATAAATATTAAAAGTGCATTTACTACAGATACAAATATAATGGAATGCAACAAAAGGATTTGTAGCATTTATTCAAATAGAATAATTTAACATAGAAAAATTAAATTTCCCTTATAATTTAGTACAACTAGAATTTTAACATAATTTCACCTATTGCTATTTATTCAAAGACTACCTGAAAATAACTACAGCTCACTTAGCTAGATACCAATCATCTGTAAATGCCCTATAAATCTTTGTAGCCATGTTAATATGGTCCTTTCAAATGTAGGAGGGGTTAGTTTTTTGGGGTTTTTTGGGTTTTTTGCTTTACTTTTTTTAAACTTTCTTTTGAAATAATTTATCTTAAACCTGATATGCCCACCATAATATAACTTCCCCAATTGTCTATAATTGCCTTTTTCTGGCCCAGGATCCAAACCAGGATCACACATTGCATCTAGTTGCCATGTGTCCTCAATCTCTTCCACTCTGGAAAAGTTCGTCTTTTTTTGTCATTTATTATCGACACTTTGAAGGCTACTGGCCAGTTATCTTATAGAATGTCTCCTAATTTGGGTTTGGTACTTCCTCATGATTAAATTTAGTTATTAATTTTTGGCAAGAGTATTACCAAAGTAATCAGGAAATAAGAGATGTCAAAATGTCTCATTATTGGTGATACTAACTTTAATCACTTGGTTAAAGTGTTGTCTACCAAGTTTCTCCAGTTTTCCCTTTGTAATTAATAAATATCATGTAAGGAGATATTTTCAGACCATGCAAATATCCTATGTCTCATCTTTTCACCTACCACTTTGACATCCAATTACTATGGTGTTTGCCAGATAGAAACTTTCTAGTTCTATCAGTCTATCCACATTTATTAATTGGAATTTTACTGTAAGGAAGAGCTGTCCTTTTATAAACATAGCTTTTATAAACATAGCTATATTTTGGTAAATCTAGAATTTCATACATAATCAAAACAGTGCGAATTAAAATGAGGAAGTAACAGTTTTCAAACTATTAGAGTGACAAATATCAAAAAGAATGGAAAACAGCATTCAAAATAGCATAATTTCCCATTAATTTATTATCCTGTCATCTACCCTGAAGAATCTGACATGAATAACCACTCGTATGTAACATGGCTTGATAGCAATTAAAAGAAGCTTTTCCTTAATGAACTATGTCAATTAATACCTTAAAATGTTGCTATTAAATGCCCAAATAACAATAAATAGCAAATTTAAATATTTCTTTCCTACCTCATCTCTTAGATTATAATAGTAACAATTTATTAAATATATATAAGTCCCTGACATAAGCAATTGATGCATATTAATTCACTTAATCCTCAAAATGACTTTCAGAAGTAGGTTATTATCATATCCATTTTATAAACTAGGAAACCAAGGCTCTTTTTATTAGCCCAAAGACTAACAGTTAAGCTTCAGAATCTAAATCCAAATTCAGCTGTGGACTTCAATCTTTAAATTGTGTTAACATTATACAGGAAAATATTTCAAGAAATTTTAGACAATAAATGTGAACATTAGCTTAATATGTAACCTAAAAGGTTATGGTGTAAATATTCATATCTGAAGTGTTTCTAATTTGCTATAAAGAAAAGTTAAATAAAATTGTTTAGGGGTGCCTAGGTGGCTCAGTTGGTTAAGCATCTGACTTCAGCTCTGGTCATGATCTCATGGTTTGTAGGTTCAAGCCCACGTTGGTCTCTGTCCTCACAGCTCAGAGCCTGGAGCCTGCTTTGGATTCTGTGTCTCCCTCTCTCTGTGACCCTCTCCTACCCACACTCTCTCTCCAAAAAAAATTTTTTAATTTTTTTTTTTAAATTTTAAATAAAATTGTTTGGCCAAAACCAAATGTGTCCTGAATTCCAAAGTACAGAGCAGCAACTGTGTTTGCTCTCATGGGGACTAATTACTTTTTGATGCTTTGTTCATAATTCTTATTTTTTAATTTTTTTTTAATTTTTTAAACCCAAACTCAGCACTTTTAAAATTTTTAAACAAAATTACACAGAGAAAATGAAGTGTTTACCCTATCCTCATAAAATGTTGACCCTCATTCAACATTCAGACTAGCTCTTGACTTTTAATGCCACAGAAAAATTGTATTTTTCTAATAGCATAATTACTTACAGTTCAGAAGTGGATGCATGCAAGAAATGTCAGACAAAAGAAAACTGCTTTTTGGTGGCACCAGGTATTTCTGTCCCATTAACGTAATGATTTTTGTAAAGCTAGAGTTGTTTTCAACAATCCGTGAAAATAAATCCTGTTCTGTAACAGACATATCCTCTTCCGTCAATTGTAATGCCTGCAGTTCCGTTTCATTCAAAAAAGGCAAATGCTTTGCCATTGCACATAATTCTGACAAATTGCAGGTATCAAGTGGTAAAGTAATGGGCTCACTACACTTGTTCCATTTTTCAGAAAGTGGATGAAGAAAGCCACTTTTGAGGCCTTCTTGGATTAACTCCGAAGAGCCATCCAAAATCAGTCCCCTGATCTGTAAGAAAAATTTGTTACAGTATATTAAAAAGTCATTAACATTAAAACAATTACCTAAATCATGAAATTCCTACTATGTTTTGAGTATTTGAACTTATGGATGAAATCAATATTTTTAAAGCTTACACTAAAATAATTTTAACATACAATGTAAAAATAAAACTATGTGAGTATACCTTTGAAGTACTGTTTCTTAAATGTGGAATGAAACAAACCTCATAAATTCACTTACAGTTAAATAACTAAATAATGCACATTAAAAAAACACATTCTTAAAAATGTATTAAAACGAAGGGTGCCTGGGTGGCTCAGTCAAGCATCCAACTCTTGATTTCAGCTCAGGTCATGACCTCAGGGTCATGGGATTGAGCCCCAGGTTGGGCTCTGGCTGAGCATAGAGCCGATCAAAATTATCTCTATTCCTCTGCCCTTCCCTACTCACCACCCCCCCCCAAAAAAAAAAAAAAAAAAAAGGTATTAAGATGAATTTGAAAAAAAACAAAACAAGGGTGAATTTGATAACATGCATGCTTCCAAAAGAAAGCAGAATTTCTAATCTGTAAAGCAAACTAAGTTTAAATCACATATAATATTGTTTCTTTAGTGATCCACTTTTAAAATAAACATACATTTTAACTCTAATATAGTACTTAAATTGTAAAGGAAAAAGCAACTGTTGGGGCACCTGGGTGGCTCAGTCGGTTCAGTGTCCGACTTCAGCTCAGGTCATGATCTCGCAGTTTCTAAGTTCAAGGCCCGCATTGAGCTCTGTGCTGACAGCTTGGAGCCTGGAGCCTGCTTTGGATTCTGTGTCTCCTTCTCTCTCTGCCCCTCCCCCCAATCACACTCTGTCTCTCTCTCTCAAGAAATAAACATTAAACAAAATTTTTTTAATAAAAAAAAAAGAAACTGTTAAATGAACATAAAAACACAGTTCTGCGAAAATATAGCTACAATAATTATAAAATTGAAATCTAAGTTCCACTTCTGGACAAGATGGAGTACCAGAAGTCAGATTTCACTTTTCATCTGAAATTACTTTTTACAAATGTATAAAATGTGTAATTTATTAAAAAGGCTTTCAGACCTTAGATGGATGTCAAGTAATGAAGAACAGTGGTCCCTAAAAAAAAGGAGAAACAAAATGATTTCTCCAGCTTACTACCTTGAGAGTTTCCAGGCAGCAGCACAGAGAAGGAGACCCATTCAGAGTCCATGAGTTGACTTGGGAAGATGGGGCTGGAAAGGTCTGGAAAGGTCAAAGCAGCTAGAATTTGCCAGGCAGGATACCAAAGAGGAGACTACACAGAGAGTTCTTATAAGCTGCAGAAGGGTCCACTTAAGTCTACCCAAGGCCAGGGAAAGAAATAGATGTGAAATGATCATAGGAAAAAATACACAGAGCTCATAGAGAGCTGGGAACAATGCTCCCAACAGCCAGAATGGAAAATCTCCTAATTTACAAAGCAACAGGTAGACTACTCAAAAGGGTATTGCCTCAATGTTGGGGAGAAAAATAACTCTAAAATAAAGGCTGCTCTGGTTCTAACTAAAAAAGCTTAGAGCAAGCTTCAAAACCTTTGTTTAAGAAAATCACAGGGTGCCAAGATGGCGGAACAGCCTGGAAGTTTTTTGGGGGCCTCTCATCCCTGAAATGCAGCCAGATCAACACTAAACCATACTGTACACCTAGAAAACTGATGTGAGGGTTAACACAACAATCTGAACAACCTGAACCACAGAACTCGGCAGGTACATAGCATGGAGAGGTGAGCTGGGGGAGAGAGAAACAGCGGAGGGTAGGGAGCTGTTTTTGCTTGTGGAGAGAGGATAGAGACAGGGGGAGAGCACAGGAAAGCATCCACCAACCCCCAAAAGCAGCTGGAGAGAAAAGAAAGAGTACGCAAGGGACTGAAAAAAAAAAGTGGGGGAAAGGAGAAAGGAGAGGGTTTAAATTCCACTAAGACTCTAAACAGAGGGAGCACAGAGTCTGAAACTCCACAGCTCATTACCCAGAGCTGCTGTGATAGGAACAGCGAATCCCCAGGAACAGAGAACGAGATCCAAGGGGTCCTCAGGCCACACAGGGAGGGGCGGTTCCCCTGCTATGAGGACATTTGGTGGAGGATGTGTGGTCACCCCATAGGCAAAGATCCCAGTGGACCTGAGAATGACCACATTGGCTGGTGCTAGAACAAGAACTTTAAGGAGGAAGCCTGGTGCCAGATGTGTGTTGTAATTTACCATAATCCCTGAAATGCTGCTGCTATACAATCACATGAACTTTTTCTGGGATGGGCTGGCACCCAGCCACAGTCTTTGGGAATCAGCAGCAGCAGGGTCCCATGAATGTTCCTGGGGGCAGCCGAGCACCTGGCCATTGCTCAGTGAGATGCTCCGCCAGAGGGTCAGAATGGGTCAAAGTCACAGTCCCTCAGAAGTGAGGAGTTGGGAAATACAGCCACACCTGGGAAAAACTCAGGAGGGAGGTGCCACCTGGCAGCCTAATGGCTTGGTAATGGAATGTAAAAGTGGGGAGTGGATAGAACCGGAGACAAAGGAGGGGTGCTCGATTGCCAGTCAGGGAGAGCACAGAGTTCTGATACTAGAGTCTGGGTAGCTGGGTGACACCATACTCAGCCCTCACACACATGCGCATACACACCTACATGCACCACAACAATCCACCCCAGTAAGCTAAGCAGCGACATCTAATGGAGAATGGAGCCGTTACACTAAACCCCGCCCAACTTGGCCAACCTCGTGCTACAGGAACACAAGTCTCTCCACCTGCTTAGTTACAGACTATAAAGTGCTTCATACTGCTTAGTTACAGACTATAAAGTGCTTCATAGCTTGACTTCTAGGGGAAACTGATGTAATTTCAATTATCTTCAGCCTGTTCCCTGGTCCATCTATTCAATTTTTTTCTTTTTCTTTTCTTATTCTTGAATACAGAAACAGAAGAAGTTTATTTTTATTTTCCATTTTTATTAAAAATATTTTTTTAATTTTTTATAATATTTTTCACTTTTCTGTAAATTTTTTACATTCTATTTTACTTCCATTATTTCATTTTATTATATTTTAGTGTATTCACTTTTTCAAATTTTCAAACATTTTATTTTTCTGTTTTTCTTTTCTTATTTTTTCCTTTTCTTTCTTTTCATACCTTTCCCTTTTTTCTCTACTATACCAAGCTCCTTTCAACAAACGGACCAAAACACACCTAGGATCTAGCATCACTTATTCAATTTTTTTGTGCTGATTTAATTTTTTAATTTTATTTTTTTTTACCTTATTAATTTCTTTTCTTCCTTCAAAATGATGAAACAAAGGAATTCACCCCAAAAGAAAGAATAGGAAGAAATGACAGCCAGGGACTTAATCAACACAGTACAAGCAAGATGTGTGAACCAGAATTTAGAATCACAATAATAAGAATACTAGCTGGGGTTGAAAATAGATTAGAATCCCTTTCTGCAGAGATAAAAGAAGTAAAAAACAGTCAGAATGAAATTAAAAATGCTATAACTGAGCTGCAATCACAGATGTATGCTGTGGCGGCAAGGATGGATGAGGCAGAACAGAGAATCAGCGAGGATAAACGTACAGAGAATAATGAAGCAGGAAAAAAAATGGAGATTAAGGCAAAAGACCACGATTTAAGAATTAGAGAAATTAGTCACTCATTAAAAAAGGAACAACATCAGAATCATAGGGGTCACAGAAGAGGAAGAGAGAAATAGGGGTAGAAGGGTTATATGAGCAAATCATAGCAGAAAACTTTCCTAACCTGGGGAAAGACACAGACATCAAAATCCAGGAAGCACAGAGGACCCCCTTTAGATTCAAAAAAACTGACCATCAACAAGGCATATCATAGTCAAATTGACAAAATACTCAGGCAAGGAGGGAATCATGAGAGCAGCAAGGGAAAAAAGTCCTAAACCTACATGGGAAGACAGATGAGGTTTGCAGCAGACCTATCCACAGAAATTTGGCAGACCAGAAAGGAGTGGCAGGATATATTCAATGTGCTGAATCAGAAAAATATGCAGCCAAGAATTCTTTATCGAGCAAGGATGTCATTCAAAACAGAAGGAGAGATAAAAAGTTTCCCAAACAAAAATTAAAGGAGTTCCTGACCACTAAACCAGCCCTGCAAGAAATTTTAAGGGGAACTCTCTGAGGGGAGAAAAGACCAAAAAAACAAAACAAAAACAAAACAAAACAAAACAAAAGCAGCAATGACTAGAAAGGACCAGAGAACACTATCAGAAACTCCAACTCTACAGGCAACATAATGGCAATAAATTCGTATCTTTCAGTACTCACTCTAAACGCTCCCATCAAAAGACATAGGGTAATAGAATAAGATCCATCTATATGCTGTTTACAAGAGACCCACTGTAGACCTAAAGACACCTTCAGATCGAAAGTAAGGGGATGGAGAACCATCTATCATGCTAATGGTCAAAAAACGAAAGCCAGAGTAGCCATACTTATATCTGACAATCTAGACATTAAAATAAAGACTGTATCAAGAGATGCAGAAGGGCATTATATCACAATTAAGGGGTCTATCCACCAAGAAGATCTAACAATTGTAAACATTTAAGCTCCAAATGTGGTGGCACCCAAATATATAAATCAATTAATAACAAACATAAAGAAATTCATTGATAATAATACCATAATACTAGGTGACTTCAACATCCCATTCACAGCTATGGACACATAACCTAAACAGAAAATCAACAAGGAAACAATGGCTTTGAATGAAATACTAGACCAGATGGACTTAAAAGATATATTCAGAACATTCATCCTAGCAGCAGAATATACGTTCTTCTCCAGTGCACATGGAACATTCTCCAGAATAGATCACATACTGGGACACATATCAGCCCTAAGTAAGTACAAAAAGATGGAGATCATACCATGCATATTTTCAGACCACAATGCTATTAAACTCTAAATCAACCACAAGAAAAA